CCACGTGCCGCAAGCGAGTGCTCCACCACCATCGGTTTCGAAGGGCAGCTCATATCAGTGCTGCGACTCCATTTGCTTCCAAGTGCCGCACGAGGCACGGGTTTCGAGTATTTGGCATTGGCGCATTCACGGTGGGCGCATTCGACCAATACCACCTAGAGGACAAGGCCTACATATGACGTCATCTTTAGTAGATCCCCGACCCGACTCAAGCGGCAAGCAGGTTGAAGCTGTAGTGGGCGCTACTGAAGTGATGGTGTTTTTTCTTATTGCTCACCAGAGGACACCATCATTTATAGAGGATTATATAAAGAGCGGCGCGTGAGATTAAAGGGCTTTTTTTTTTGGTTGTGGTCACGAGCTGGGCTGCTGTCATTTGGCCGTCGTCCGTTCCGAACGTTCCGAACATGGTGTCAGAAGCTGGTTAACGCCGTCACTATGGCGGAAGGTGAACCCAGTATCCAAGTGGTTCGCGTCGGAGCGTCGGAACTTCATCCTCCGGCTCCATTCACTTTCACCAGCCCGGCGGAATGGCCGACATGGATCGCGACTTATCAGGACCCCACGGATGTGGGGTCCTAGCCAAGAGGAGGCTTTCGCCCGCCTCAAGTCACTGCTTAGCTCTGAAACATGCATGGCAAAGTACTACCCGCGCTACCCTACCGTAGTATCTGCAGATGCCAGTTCTTATGATTTGGGAGCCGTGCTGCTTCAAGAGCAACCTTCGGGGACTCGGCGGGCTGTCGCCTTTGCTTCCAGATCCCTCACTCCCACGGAGGGTCGCTACAGTCAAACGGAGAAGGAGTCTCTAGCCGTAACGTGGGCCGTCTTACGGTTCGACCAGTATATTCGTGGTCTGAACTTCGAGGTCGAGACAGATCACCTTCCTCTTGTCGCCCTTCTCGGGGGAAAGGACCTGGAGCTTTTGCCACCGCGGGTGCAAGGCATGCCAATCAAGCTGATGCGTTATCAGTACAACATGAAGTATGTACCGGGAAAGCTCTTGGGGACTGCCGACACACTCTCACGAGCACCTTGTGACGCGCCAGCTTCGAAAGAAGTAGGGAGTGTGGAACTCTTCATTGGCGAAGTCTTCACAGACCTGCCGCCAGCGGTGGCGAGTCGACTGCAAGACGTCCGCCAGCACCAAACGCAAGATGGGGAGTGTTCCATGGTAGTAACTTACTGTGGAAGAGGTTGGACCAGCAAAAACAAAGTGCCAGCTCAGATTGCTCCGTATTGGAAGGAGAGAGAACGATTGAGCGTCTACAAAGGCGTACTACTTCTAGATCGCCGCATCGTCATTCCGTCCGCTCTCCGACAGAGTATCCTGGCCTTACTGCACGAAGGGCACCAGGGCGTTCGCCGCTGTCAAGAACGCGCCAGAGAAAGCGTTTGGTGGCCGAACTGCAATTTACACATCTAACATCTTGTAGCCGAGTGTGCCAAATGCGCCGAAACTCGTGTGGTACACTCTGAGCCGATGATGCAGACTCCAACGCCAGAAAGACCGTGGCAGCGTCTCGGGATAGACCTTTTCCAGCTAAAAGGACGTGATTACGTTCTGATTGTAGACTACTACTCAAGGTTTCCTGAGGTCATCTCTCTCGGATCTACATCTGCGCAAGCAGTCATCTCGGCTGTCAAGAGTTTCATGGCTCGCTATGGGATCCCGGACGTCGTGCGGTCAGATAACGGACCGCAGTTTGCATCTCACGAGTTTGCAAACTTTGCTCAGGCGTACGGATTTCGCCATGAGACTAGCAGCCCGCGGTACCCCCAGAGTAAAGGCGAAGTAGAGCGTATGGTGCGTACCGTGAAGGACTTGTTCGCAAAAAGTTCTGATCCGTACCTGGCCCTCCTAGCATACCGAGACACACCTGGTGTCAATGGCGTGTCTCCTGCACAGTTGTTAATGGGGAGAAAACTCCAAACTCGACTTCCTGGTTTACCCGAACGACTTGAGCCAGCATTGCCCAGCCATCAGAACTTTAAGGCGAGAGATGCCGCAAACAAGTTACAGCAGGCAAAGAACTACAATCGCCGGCATAGTTCAAGTCCTCTGACTCCCTTGAAGTTGGGGGAGGACGTGTGGGTTAAGAACGTCAATTGCCGAGGCCGTATACTCAGCCCAGCTCAGCGACCACGGTCATATGTGGTGGAAACGCCCAGGGGCACTCTGCAGCGAAACCGTCAGCATCTTGTCCCCTTCGCAAACGGCCAAGCAGAAGAGGAACCGTCGGCTAGTTCACAGCAGTCTATGCCTGTTGAGGGTCAACGAGTATCATCGCAAGAGCCTCAGCAAGAAGGACTTCGGCTGAGACGCACACGTTGCGGTCGTGAGATTCGACCGCCAAGGCGATCGGACTTATAGATCTTAAGAGGGGAGATGTAGTGGGCGCTACTGAAGTGATGGTGTTTTTTCTTATTGCTCACCAGAGGACACCATCATTCATAGAGGATTATATAAAAAGCGGCGCGTGAAATTAAAGGGCTTTTTTTTTGGTTGTGGTCACGAGCTGGGCTGCTGTCACTTGGCCGTCGTCCGTTCCGAACGTTCCGAACAGAAGCTTGACGAGAGGATGGGCCACGTTATAACTACGTAACGTCGCGAGCTGATAGCGAGCTGATAGCGACCTTCCGCAGTTCATTTGAAACGCGAAACAATAAAGATTCCCGGTCTCCTATTATTGTTAGCTCGTTCTGAGCACGCGCCCTATACCACGGAACTTGTAATAGAATTACAAACATATAAAGCGGCCTAGCTCATCCTAAGCAGATAGAATCACTACAGCCATGAAATCTGACGTAACCTTCTACAGCATTAAAAGTGTTACAAAAGCTATTGACAGTCAGAAGCGCTGCTCAATGGACTCGGTCCCTTTTAAGCGCGAGTGTGTGGATTAACAGCCAAAACGTCGATAACCACAGCTTCCACCACGCTTTTATGGCCGCATGAGCGAAGCCGAAGCTGCGAATTCGCAAGAATAATTGAAGCATGTGAATCAGGTTTTACTCATTTGGTGTCTCCACGTATTTAGCATTCATTCGAAGGTAATTTTCGTCAATTTGCAATAGAAGGAGCTTGATCGCGAGAGCTAAGACATCAGCGGCCAGAAAGCCCTCTCTCATATAGACCCTTTTTAAAAATTTGATGAGGCAACACTGGGAACAGCCATTATTTGGGCATAGCCTCCTGTGCGCAGCGCGTGATTGAGTCCGAGTTTACGCCGAACGCTGACACACCACTCGTGAACACGAGTACGCGCCAAACGCTGACGCGGCATTTGTGTCACATATATATATATATATATAGGCTCGAAGTGCATGCCCAAAATATGGCAGCCTCAGACAATCCACTCTGCAGCTACTGGAGGACGTACACTTTTGAAAAGGGTCCACTTTGTATATACCCACAGCTGCTTGTATCATATGACCTGAGATGAGGTATGATCAAAAGCTCGAGATCAGCGTAAGCTATGTTTCCTACTTAAGCCACATCCCATACAAAAATGGACTATGGTCGTCTATGGAAAATTATATAACAGGCTATCACCCGCTATGGCCCTCTATGGTCGGCTATAGAAATGCATAAATACAGCTACAGCCCGCTATAGAAAAAATCTATGGCCCTACGTCGAAAGACTCAGAACCAATAAATATTCTTTACCCGCCTATGGAAAATTTTCTGGCCGCAAGTCTAAAGACTGTAAACCAATCAATTGTCTTAATACGCCTATAGAAAATTCTATGACCCCAAGTTTAAAGACCGCAAACCAATAAATTGTCTTTACCCGTCTATAAAAAACTTTATAGCCACAGGTCTAAAGACCAGGAACCATTCAATTTTATTTACACGCCTATAGAAAGTCACTACCGGCACTTACTTTTTATAGCAAAAACACTCCAGGTAAAAAAATTAAAGCAATACTAAATTTCTGTAATAGTGGTGGCAAAGCATGACCCAAGATATGTTCTCTGCTGTTGCAACTAGTCTTGTTAAAACCAGTAATATTGTTTGTTCGAAAAATCAAGTGAAATGCGTGTGCAACATTTAAAATTAATTATTACCCGCTGGTGAAAATAGATTACACTGACACCGAACACTGGAATCAAGCAATAGCTTAATTGCTATCTTCAGCACCGGTGTACTGCATTTCATCACTGCATTGTCAAGATGATTCATCAAACTTATTAAAAATATATTTACTACATTTTGGTTAATTAGCCTAATGATCTACATTTGCTTTTTTCAGGGTGCTGAATTAAGAGATGGGGGTTACTCCAAGAGACAAATAAAATAATGTATTAAATACGAGTAATATGTGCTCCGCCTCTCCGTGTTTATGCGACACATGACGGCAATCACCGGCAAAGTCAGATTCAAAAATAAGACTGCCATATATAGAGATAGTGCGAACTTAGTGTTCGTAGAGAGGTGTGGGGGTTTCGGTATCGCTGCGTTCTTGCTGTTGTGTGGGGGAGTGTGTTTTGTCTTCTGTGTGTTCAGTGATGTATAGGTATCTGTACCTACAATGTAACGTTCTAAAATTGGGGGAACCTGAAAGACATTTTTTTAGAGTGTGCCGGCTAAAGAGAGCCATAGGGAAACCCATACAGCCTTCTTTAGCAGACTATACGAATCGCTAAAGACACCAAAGGAAAAGCCATACTGACAATAGAGAGCCAGCCATTAGAAAACCTAAAGAGCGCTATGGCTGGACAGTGATAGGGCCATAGACAAAGCTAAAGAGGCCTATAAAGACGACCATAAAAATTGTAAAGAGAGCTATAGAAAATTCTTTAGCTAATTAGGCCAAATAGCTAAAGTTGACCATACAAAGAATTTTCTATAGCCGACCATAGGACATTTTCGTATGGGATGTGCAATATAAGTATGAAAACTAAGGAGGCTATAGGATCTAAACATTAAGTCATCTTAGTTTACTATTAAAAAAATAAGGTAGCATTTATTGAAAGTAATTTTTGTTCGGCAAGACTCACTGTGGTCCGTAGATGCAAGTGAAGAGTTTCTGATAATGCTTTTCACCTTTGAACTTGTACTTTGTCTGTCCGCATCCCAGGTAAACAGATTTAGCCCATAGAACCTAAGGAAATACAAATTAGACACGTTTGTGAATTCGTGACAAAGTTAGAGCAAACGTAACCTCCATACTTTCCTGTTCAACTGACATAAGGTATTGATGAGTAACAAAATGTTATCTCTTAGGTTAGAGCGCGGACAAGCACTCCACAACAATAAGCATTTCGGATGACCCAAAACCTTTTGCGTTCTTTTTTTTTTCTTTTTACCGGCAAAATAAAGTACGCATTGCCTAAGCTTACTCTTTGTTCTAATGTAGTGCTAGCGATCTGGACCAGATCCCAAACTTTTAGAGCTTGCCATTATCTAGTTCAAAACTTATGAGCAGTTTTAAAACATTATCGGTGAGAAGAGGGCGATCACGGAATCCCACAAATGCATAGAGATAATGGCATCAGCTGTCGGAAACGGGCCTCATTTTCCCATCGATAGTATAACGAATAACTTTAGAATCAGATCCAGTCCCGACTTCCAACTTCCACTTAGTCTACAACACCATCATCAAAAAAAACATACAAAACATTCGCGTATTACAGAAACATTAGGATATAAATTAGGTCTGAAAGATGTCTGTCGCCATTGACAGCTTAAGAACCGCAAAGCGTAAAAGCTAGTCCCTCAGTCTCATTGCCTGAGGACCGAGAGTCAGATGATTGGAACTCGCCATTCCCTGTGTTTATTAAACTGTCAATGACTATAGTTATAGTAATACAATATTATCCCATGATCCTTCTAACGTTCAAGGTGTTTTTGTTGTGCCTATTTTTATATATCACACTCTTCTTCTTTTTTTTTGCACTTTGATGAATTTATTTTCATTCATAATTCTAAGTATTTTTAATTGTGTTTACCCTGCATGAATATTGATTGTATAAAACTTTATATGTTTGTGATTGGTTCAGCGGTAATAAAGCACGTACAGAAACATGAAGAACAGAATGATGCTGCGCTTTTGAGGCTGTCTGATTGGTGCCATCAGCTCGTAACGTCGGCTGCGTCTGAACTTAAGGTGAAACGAAGTATAGTTAGGCGTTTTAACCTCTCTATCTTCTTTCTTGATTTGTATGATGTTTGGGGAGCAGCTGAAGGTACCTGTGACAGGTGGGCGGCTTTGTCGCTCTTTGCTCTGAGCTTCTTCACTTCCGATGGGTCAAAAAACTGCTCCTCTTTTTCTTCCCAGGAGGTAATGGCGCTTTCCCAATCACTCGGCTCATCCGGGTTAGGATCATTGGTCTTGAACCTGAACATGTTCTGGCCCGTGGCGAATCTGGCTGCGAAAATAAACGGTCATTCTTACGTCACGACCAAAAATAAAACTGGTTTTTAGATTTTAAAAAATACGTTTTCCTGCAAATGCCGGTGTTTATGGCATACCGCTTTCCTGCGGTGGCTCCTACGTAAGCCAAACAGGCCGTTGTGTGGATGATCGCGCAAAAGAGCACGCTGCCTCCCTAAAACAGTCACCTTCTTGGTATTTGGCTGTTCGTTGCAGCCGATATATGTGTACACCAGTGTTCAATGTCATTGCTATCCTGAGGCGACACAGCAAAAAGACGACCAGGGAAATCCATGAGGCGTATGTTATAAAAGCAAAGGGTGCAGATAAGGGTATCAGCGAACCTCCCTTGACCCTGACAGATAAAAAACGTATATTTTTTTAATAAATTGTGGGTACGTGGAAAATGACGCGGGGTGTTTCAAAGTATATTTAAGACAGCGTTTTTTTTCTAAATACAAATTCAGTTGCGAGTTTGACTTGTGTTGTCGTCTTCTTTACTTTGTCTCAGTTTTTTGCGCTTTTTTCCCGTATGCAAAAACCAAATTCGGGAGGAGCGAGGCGTCTGCGCGTGCGCAGTACCGACAGCAGCGCCACTGCAGTAGCGTGATGTCAGTGAGTTGGGTTTGTCAATGAGCCTAACAATTTTTTATAAAAAAAAAAAAACGAAAACAAAAACGGTGATGGCTTGTTTTGCCCCAACAGTGTCGCGTTGTGTTCGTCTTATCACATGATCGTCCTCACAGTCACTGTTTGTTTGAGTTGCAGATGGCGCAACTATAAGACGTGACCGCACATTGTCCCTGTTTCAAACGATATTAACGTGGAGATTGCACTTACGAACTTTGCGGCAGTCGAGGCAGTCGTGCTTGAACTGGCATTGGGAGCTATGTGCCTGCGCGATGGTGGCGAGCTCTCTGTCCCATACCTGCGAGTCCGTACATGTTTTTTAAAAGTTGGGCAATCTCAGAACGCTGGTTCTTGTCGCGTGTTATTAGCAGTCCTGATGAGAGGGTTCAGGAGTCCTCTCAAGTTTTAAGACCGCGGGCAATGCAAACGTTATCCAAAGCGTTCTCTCTAGGCATATCTATACCATCCAACTGTGAACCCAGCATAGCATAATAAAGTTTAACCATCGTTGTTATTTTGTTGGCATGTCTAATCTGAAGCTTTTCATTTTTCTCAAAAATAAAAAAAGAGTTAGACAAAGACGACGGACAGGTCATACATTTTTTTGAATGCCTGTCCTCTAAGTCCTATTTGTCTAACTCTTTCGTATTTTTGAATCTATTACCAACGCGCTCAATCAAAGTTTTTTGTTTGTTTTTTTAACTCGGAAGTTCTTGCATGTCTAATCTGAAGATTTCTTTTTATTATGATGTTCCTACAATGCTAAATTTGTATCCGCAGCTATGTTTGGGTGGAAATCATCGTTATAAATACTCTAATCAAGAAATCAAATAACATTTGTCTATATGTAATGATTTGGCCCTTTTTGTTTCATGTATTGCCAAATTCATAATAATAAATTCATAAAAATAAATACCTTGAAACAAACAGCTCGAACTCTTTAACGTAAGTTGTAAAAATCCAATGTTTAACTAATTTGTTTTAAGCCCCCCCCCCCCCTTTATTTTTGCACATGTATAACTGCTTGTTGCCAGTAAATATACTGGGTGTTTGGGAACAAAAATAGCTGTTTTTCTCACCGGAAAAAAATAAACTACGCATTGCCGAACGCACTGTCTCGGTACCAATTTAACGCTAGCAGCTGGTACCAGATGCTAAAGTTTCAGCACTTACGCCACCCTCTCACTCAAAATTTATCAGCGAAAGTTCTGGCGTTATATCTCACCTAAGGATAAGTCATCTGTCAAAAGTAATAATACCGCGGCTGTGTTTAATTATTTTTTTAAATCGATATTTACTACTGACGACGGAGTTGTCCCAAGCCTCGAAGTCAGCGATACGGACGTAATTAGTGACATTGTCATAACTCAGGAGGGAATTTTTAACTTAATTTTAAATAAATTAGACACTAAAAAAAATTACGGGGCCGGATATAATACCAAACATTCGTTTATTTGAAAAGGTACGCAGAATGGATGTCCAAATATTTACATGTTTTGTTTTGTTTCTCTCTTGAGCAGAGCATGCACTATTACCAAATGACTGGAAGACAGCAATCGACAGCAATATCTCATTCATAAAGAGGGTGACTGGAGTACAGCATCAACCTTTACGCCAATAACTTTAACTAGCAGCACATGCAAATAGCTAGAGCATATTATTTTTACGCATGTGCCATGTCACTTGGATAAGCATAATTTAATATATAGAAATCAGCATGGGTTTTATGAAATCATTTTCGACTACAACTCAGCTCATAAAATGTACGCATGATTTGGCTGAAGCCATTAATGAGAGGGGCCAGATTAATGTAATATACTTAGATTTTTCTAAAGCATTTGACACGGTGTCTCATCCAAAGCTGCTGGCAAAACTTCCTAACATACTCAAAAACTCGCAAATTATAAATTGGATAACCACATATTTATCAAACCGAAGCCAATATGTCCACTATAACGAAGTTGATTCGGACAAACTGCTCGTCACTTCAGTAGGGCCCCAGGGCTCCGTGCTAGTGCCACTTTTGTTTTTGATTTAGATTAATGGCATTCCAGCCAATATTGATGTCCCGTTTTGATTGTTCGCTGACTACTGTATTATAAATAAAACAATAAAAAGGCATACCGAATATTTTACACTGCAGAAAGCTTTGGATGAGATACTACGTTGGACTAAAAAACGGCAAATGAAGCTAAATTATTTGAAAACAGCCGTCATGACAGTTTCATGTAAACAAAAAGCCAGTTAATATTAATTACTTACTTAATGGACAACCAGTAAACCAGGTCGAGGAGTACATGTATTTAGGACTTCTTTTTAGCAATAAACTGAACTGTAACCAGCACTTACAATTAACAGTTAACAAAGCGAGGGGCACTTTGTTTGCGTGCCGTAGGAAAATAAAATTTGCTGATTTCGACACTAAACTTATTCCTTATAAAAGTTTTATTAGGCCTGTGCCAGAATATGCTAGTTCACTGTGGTGCCCTTTCACACAAAACGGTAATAAGAAGCTTGAAAGTATCCAAGAGTTAGCTGCTCGGTTTATTTTTAATGACTATCGTAGAGTAACATCGTCCACTGAAGTAGTTATTTGAGCGAAGCTTCAACCGTTGGAAATGAGAGCAAAAACTGATAGATTAAGATTACTGTTCAATATCCTTAACGGCACTCCTTCGTGTTCAAAACTCTAACTATATACAACCATTATCGACCGGGTCCTCACGTCTAAACCACACAAGAGCGTTAAAACAATACATGCTCAAGAACGACTGTTTTAGATATTCTTTTTTCCCTCAGACAATTCAAGAATGGAACGAGTTACCAAATGATGTCGTCGTCAACACAACTCTTGCTAAATTTGTATCTGCTGTTGAATTTATACTTAATTGAGTTTTCAATTATAAATCTGCATCTTGTTTACATGTTTGTAACCGCTCCTACCATGGCTCCTTGAGTAGAGCCAGTAGTATTCCTAAATTTAAAAAAAAAACGTTTGATGAGCGAATGTAACTCGTTCCCGCTAGCAGACATCACCATCTCCGTGTATTCTAGCACTTCATTACCTGCCGTGGTTCTCATTAAAGGGGCGATGCAACGATTTTTTGTATTTTGCGCAAATACCGCTTAGAACGGATCCCTGGCGTTATCGACCTGTGAAATACCCGTTCGTTTTTCACCACACGCAATCGAAGTCGCAGAAAAAATAAAGAAAAACAAGCAGAGTTCTCCCCCTCAACTCGCAGCCATAACAAGCGGCCACGTGATATGGAGCCGATTATATGCCGCCAATGTTGATCATAGCCACGCGCTGAAGTTGGCAAGGCACAGTACACGCGGTGCGTTCCAGACATTGTTATGGTTCGGCTGTTGCCGTCATTGCAGCGATTGGACACAGGACACTACCCGAATGCTTCTCGAACTATCGATTATCACGAGCCCAAATCGAGTGTCCACGCCATGCTCGAGTCCAATCTATGAGCCGCATTCAAATATCGTCACTGGGCGGTACCGCTACCGCCCAGCTACGTCATCAGGTTTTGCGAAGCAGAAATTGAATGTAAACGCTCGGTTTTGTCCTCGACATTGCAGCGCAACAAAGGAGTTTCTTGGTCAGTGGCGTTGCGTGCGAGTATCCTTGTGTCCCCACTATACTCTGTTCCACCTTATGATGTACCGCAGAAAAGGCTACAAGTGCGAGCTCCTTGCTCTAGGGCACATCAAGGCGGCACAAGCTCTCGTGCGTTAAGAGTTGCTCCCAACGCTATGAGCTCGCGCTTCTAGCCTTCTCTGCGGTACAACATAAGGTGAAACGGAGTATAGTGCCAGTAAGCTCGTGTAAAGTGAAAAACATTCCAATTGAATATCGTTGCACCGCCCCTTTAAATATGTTTGAAGAACGCTGATAATTTTGAATCAGATAACGGCACGTTTTGGAATTTCGGAACCTGGTCCCAACCGCTAGCCCTACATTTGGCCTACAAACGAAGCATTAGGTGATCCAAACTTTAGTTTTGCGGATATAAAAAAAGTAGGTATAATTTTTCCGCACTTTATTACTCAGAAGATGCCCGCAAATTTGGTCAGTTCTTTGAGTATACCGACGAATTTGCTCACGACATAGGACTAAGCACAAATTTTCCGTCTTTCACCGAACTCTGCAGGTACAGCCCCGAAACGAACGTTTTCATCTAATTACTCGATCGTCTTAATTGTCCATACCCGAGGTGTTTATTTGTGCATAAATATAATTGTGAAATGTACTCCTGTATTGGTGAATGAATATATATATTTATATATCTTCGGTATTTTGAGGGGGAGAAAATAGCATGCCCCAAAGCCTCGTTCAGATTGCATATACCTCGTATACCAAAGACACCGTATGCTCCCTGCAGACGTGGTGATAAAATTATTTGCGAAGACCCGTCTTGAATGTTCGATGCATGTTCCCTTCGTACATGCTTAGGACATGTCTGCAGACTGTCATTTGCATCATGTAGTAGCAGTTCTGGAGCAGCGATCAGGCCACAGAGTGGAGGAACAAACGTCTAGCAGAAGTTCATCAGCCAACTATCTTTACGAAAATCTTTCACCAAAATGTTTGTGTAGCTTAGTTGACTTCTTCGTGGGCCGACGACATATGTTACCTGTTGAAGAAGACCCCCGTTTCTAAACTGCTTTGGACAAGGCGTGACTCTATTTCTAAATATTGGGAAAGCGCACAACTCCAATATGCGTATCCAACTTGTAAAATTCACCTTCACTCGGGTACCGAGTAGTAGCCACTATGCTACAAAGACCGAAGCCAATGGTTATTTCTTTTATTCCATATTTTAAAAACTAGTGAGAAAGAGTACATGCGCATTTTTACATATCGCTCCACCACAATCACAAAATGCAAGCAGCTCCCATGTTCCGCGGCTGTTTCGGTTGAGAAAACAAAACTCACCAGTTCCATCATGTCGGCAGCGGCGGGAAGGTTTCGAATCAGTCCCTGGGCAGCTTTTTGTCGGTAGTCATTGTGCAACCTGAGTATCTCTTTTACTTCGTCCTGGCTCACACCTGTATTCATCACGACGCAGTTCTGGGCAATATTATTGAACTGTTACCGACTGTACGACGAGGTAATCATTTTCTCGAGATCGACTACCTTTTCTTCTAGACACGAAACAAAAAAGCCAACAACAACTCTCTTTTTTTTTTTTTTATATTACAATATATAGTACCCTACAGGAAGTCGCGGAGCTCGAATCACTTTAGGCCCAGCAGTACATAACTTAGCCGCAATTCGTTGCATGAAAACTTAACTGGGGCTCGCTCTTTTCTAAGTTCCATCTGTAGACCTTGCAGTGACGAGTGTGCCTAAGCCTATAGAGTTTTCCTTTCTTGAAAATCAACGTTTACAGCTATAGTCGGTGACAGCCTTAGAAACTCAGGGCGTGGTCAAGAATCTCAATATCGCTGTTCAGCGAATGAGATTATAGCATCCGCAGATAGGGACGCCGAAGAACTAATGACAAAGCTCAAAGAGTAAACACGAAAGGCAACGCCAAGCGTTTTTTAAAGGTGTCGGCGACTCTAAAAGATAAATAAACGCCAGTAGCAGTTTCAGCCGCGTAAAAGGGCATAGAGAGAGCCACGATATTCTTCCCGTCGCTGGATAATATCCGTACTACAGTTACTGACAGGATGAAAACGGCCAGGCGTCTTCTTGGAACGCTCGATCTCCAGCACGATATCTAGAAATGCAAAAACTCGAGAAAAAAAAATTGGGGGGGAGGTGGGGGGGGCTACTTTTAAACATAAGAAACAGTAAAAAATTTCATTCAGTCTAATCAAGGATTAAAAAACTTGGTAAGCTAAATTTTTGCAACAAAAGGTTGAAATAGTAAGTATTGACTGTGTGGAAACTAAAAATATCCATCACATGGTTTTGTTGAGAAAACAGGTCGAGGAGTAATAATCGCAGTCTACTAAATTCCAAGTTTGTGAGAGAAAATAAAGCCTAGATTTTCAGTTCGCAGAAATGAACTACACATCGCAGAAAGCTGAAGCCTATTGAGAATGTGGCGCTAGCGTTGGTGATGAAATGCGTAAGTTTGTGTACATTACGTTATCTGTATAAAAAGATAGAACAGAGGCGCAAACCGACGACAAATAAAGTTTCGTCGCTTATGCAGGCTTTCTACTGCTTTTTCCTTTCCGCTCTGCCAATCTCGCCAAAAGTCATCTTTGTCTAACATCGGTGTTCTTACCTATTTCTCTACTGATTTGAAACTCAGCAACCATAGCGGGTTCTTTTTTTATAAAACTTCTTTTTTCTTCAAATTGCCATCAAGTTGCATGAATTTGTGCGCCCAGCGAGTTTCAGCTGGAAAGTTGAGTGCTGTGTCATTTCTAGCCTAGCACTCTTCTTGCCTCTTCGCAAAACGGGCTGCTCAAACGTGATAGTTCTTGACTTACTTGATTACAGACTTGGACTTATAAGATTCCTGCCATGCCGCCATCTTCGACAAGTCGGAAAAAGCAAGTTCATTTCATGAACACAGATTACCAAAGCAGTAATGTGAGGGAAGCACTGACAAACACTCGTCTAAGCGGCCTTTATGCTGTTTGCGTGGTCTGTAACCGGAGCAAAAAACTGTTCAGTTTTAAGTTTTTCTATAACCTTCGAAATTTCTCCTGTGATGTATTATCCTCTGTGCCGGTGCCCTTACCGCGTTCTATAGGATGGACTTTGGCGTGGCCACCGCAAAGTTCAAGATGCTGTCGCCTCGCACGTTCATCCAGCCGTCCTTGAGTATGGTGACACCAAGTGCAGACTTGATTTTGTCTTCTACATGTGTCATCACTCGGGCGTACTACGCCTGCTATAGTCGACTACCTAACATTTGTCTGGAGGGCGGTGTGTATGCGAGTCTTCCAGTATCTGTTTTCGGTGATTGACAAAGGCTTTCCACTAGAATACAAGGTCCGTCCAAAAAGTATCGGGACTGATTTTTGCTAGCGAAGGGGACTGGGTGCAAGGTGGCCTCACTAGGCAGGGACATTAGTGAGGCTTTCTAAGCATACGGCGCGATCATATTCAGTTGCTTCTGAGCCTTTGCAGAGTGTGGATCGCGCCCAGAGTGAGCCATTGTTTTGTTGTGTCGTCGGGCACCACGACGCGGTGCACGATGAACGACAGTATGCGACCAAGTTTTGAGTGAAACTGAACGCATTCGGTGCTGAGACACTTGCCAAGATCTGTGAAGCCTACGGGAGGATTGCACGACAAAAACGTGAGTTTTCGAGTGGCACAAGAGGTTTAAAGTAGGAAGAGAGGACGTCGAGGAGGTGCAAAGCGGAAGACGTCGGTCGACAAACACAAATGAGGAAACTGTAGCAAAAGTGTTAGAACGTTTAGACTGTGATCGACGTACGAGTGTGAGAATTATTACGGAAATTTTGAATGCAAAAAAATTCATCGCGAATTGTCATACGATGTGCAGCCAAGTAAAGTGTGTGCTAAGTCAAATGCGCCGAGCCACGCGTCGCTACGCGTAAGGGAGTTGCTGGCGAAACACAACATGGCCACGCTGCCTCAGCCTCCCTACTGTCCACGACACCATCATGGGACAGTGTAAAGAGTACAAACGGCTTCGACGCAGTGCCTGAAGGAGATTCCGGTTGCAGACTTCCGGGGGTGCGTACCATGATTAGAAAAAACGCTGGTAACGGTATGTTGACGGAGAAGGATGTTACTTTGAGGGATTTTAACTTATTTTACGTATATCTCCAATAATGGATTTTTATTCATGTAGTACCGATACTTTTTGGACAGACCCTGTATATCGGTCGCTCAAATGCCTCACCAAGTTTTCACTGAATTTTCGGTGTCATTCTGTCAACATTTCGCATAAATGTAACCTGGTTGATAGGACTATAAGTTTCTCTTGGAAAGTTTGCGCTTTCGGTTTCTAGCGGTGAACGTTCTGGTCACACAATATCTACGGAAGGGCTCCTTCTTGAGAAATACATCATTCCAGATTCCAATCTGGCCAATTTAGCTGGTACTGCCGTAGGTCGAATGCCCAGGGGTCACTTTGAACATCTTGCGATGTGAAGCCTCAAATGGATTGCGTTTGGAAATTCGTACTTCGCACAACAAAATCTGCATACAGCTGGTCCTTTACCATGGTAGGGTGCATCGAAGTTCACCCATTTATTTAAACAAAGTCTTATCATGGCAGCGAGAAGTTCTACCAGATCCAAGCAAATGCCGCTCCCGAGTTCCGAGAACATGGCGCTTTGCGCATGAGGGTTTGCAAAGGTAAAGCGATCTACCGGTCGATTGCATCAAATTATTTTGTATTTACCCTTTCGATTGGGTTTCTTCTGATGACAGATGCCAGATGAGTAGCGAGGAATTCGCTAAATTAAAAGAAGTTCGCATTAACTTAATAAATTAAAAGCAGCGTGCATAAAAGACAGGGACAAAAAAAATGAAAGCCGCTTACAACTCCCTGTAACGCCGAATTAGAGCGCAGCTCTTGAGGAGGAGGAGGCAAGGGCACTGGGGGGGGGGGCTTAAACTAACCAGGGGGGGGTCACGTGACCTTGGGGGTCACGTGACCCCCAATGCCGATGTCATCACTGACGTCACTGATGACGTCATCAGTGACGATGACGATGCGGGTACCGATGACGTCATTAGTGACGTCACTGATGACTTCACCAGTGATGACGATGACGATGCGAATGTCGGTGACGTCATCAGTGACGTCGCTGTTGACGTCATCAGTGATGATGACGATGACGATGCGGATGCCGGTGACGACATCAGTGATGTCACTGATGACGTCATCAGTGATGATGACGATGACAATGCGGATGTCGGTAACGTCATCAGTGATGATGACGATGACGATGCGGATGCCGGTGACGTCATCAGTGATGATGACGATGATGATGTGGATGCCGGTGACGTCATCAGTGATGATGACGATGACGATGTGGATGCCGGTGACGTCATCAGTGATGATGACGATGACGATGTGGATGCCGGTGACGTCATCAGTGATGATGACGATGACGATGCGGATGCCGGTGACGTCATCAGTGATGATGACGATGACGATGCGGATGCCGGTGACGTCATCAGTGATGATGACGATGACGATGTGGATGCCGGTGACGTCATCAGTGATGATGACGATGACGATGTGGATGCCGGTGACGTCATCAGTGATGATGACGATGACGATGCGGATGCCGGTGACGTCATCAGTGATGATGACGATGACGATGTGGATGCCGGTGACGTCATCAGTGATGATGACGATGACGATGTGGATGCCGGTGACATCATCAGTGACGATGACGTCATCGGGGGGTCACGCGACATCGGCGGGGGTCACGTGACCTCGAGGAGGGGCTCACGTGACCTCAGGGGAATCACGTGACCGGGGGGTCACGTGACCTCGGGGGGTCACGTGACCCCTATGAGGTCACGTGACCCCGGTGGGTGGCTCGCGCGGTGCATTATGGGACATTTCCCATGATGCACCGCGCGGTTACGCCGACGGCGACGGCGACGGCGACGCCGCTCAAGCCGGAAACGGGCCCCTAAGAGCTGCGCTCTAAAAGGGAAGCACACAGGACGAGAAAGTCATGAACCAACTCGCCTGCATTGCCAACTTAATTCGCATTAACGTTAAAACAATTAATGCAATATCATACTACACCACAAGAATTCGCAAAAAAAAAACTCTTGCAGTCATTGACCTTTTGTCGCTACACCCCAAGAATTCGCAAAAAAAAACTCTTGCAGTCACTGACCTTTTGTCGCTACCTTTTAGAGTATTGCTGAATCATTCGTGTTGAAACAATTTTTCAATGTTTCCAAAACTTCCGAAAAGAAACTTGTTTTTTTTTTCCTAGATTTCTTTCGGCCTTCAAATTTTCCAGAAATTTTCTATCCCTAACGATATCTCTCTGCCTTCATCGTGCTTTGGCTACGCGCTCAAGCTCGAAACTCACAATACGCCAAAGAGTTATCAAAGGTAGCAACAAGTTAGGGGGGCTTAAAGGGATAAATCGAAAGCTTGAAAGAGGTCCCCTCCCCCGAAGGGTTGTCGCCGTGTTGTACGCAAAAGTGAGACTACTCGTCACGTCACCTCAAGAGAGCCTTGATGTCAGCGCCCAGAACTGGTGGATATGAGTTGGTTCGGTGCGCGGTCTTTGTAATGTACAGCTGCTTGCTGACGATTTCGGACTTCTTCGGGCTCTCTGAGGCAGGTATAACGTGAATATCTGAAGGAATGGGACCTTATAAGCTTTTTCAGCGAGATCGCTCTAGATGTTAGCTTATGTTAGAGACAGCGTCAGTCGTATCGCCGTAGCAGTGCTCGGATTCCCAGATCTGTTCGAGGATGGACAAAACATTTGGTATAAAATTTCCGCATTATACTAGCTTTGTTTGAACGTTGGAATGTCTGAGAATCGAAGCGAAAGGTGTGCGTCGCGTATGGGGCCTAGGGGAAATTGTTTCAGCCCTGGATCACCGCATAATATTAGCACGTTTTAGCCAGGAAGCGCCTGATAACTTTTACCTCTTACACTAATCAACGATATTGCGATAAAATTTTTAGCATGACATTTTTGCATTCTCCCAGCTTTGTTTCAACGTTGGAATGTCTGAGAACTGAAGCCACAGGTATGCGTCGAGTGTAAGGCCTAGGGGAAATTGTTTCAGTCCTAGGTGACCGCATAATATCAGCAAGTTTTATCGAGCAACCTGCTGCAATTTTACCTTGTGTTTTATTTAGTCAACGATTTTACGATATATCTTTGAGCGCAAAGTTTTCGCATTCTCCTAGTTGTGTTTGAACGTTGGAATGTCTGAGAATTGAAGCGGAAGGTATGCATCACGTATAGGGAAAAAGTTGTTTTAGACCCAGGCACCGCACAATGGCAGCAACTATTAGCCAGGAAGCTCCTGCGATCTTTGACATTTTGTACTGATCAGCAATTTTACGAATTGGTGGTTCTCAAGATTTTTATATGATGTGCTTTCAATGCAGTAGCTTGCATTTGATCGCAGTATTTTGTTTTACGTGAAAAGTGGGCGTTCCCTTCTCTGACGTCAACGCGAACCGTTACAAAAGATTTGAACTAATGATTCAGAAAATAGTTCATTACTAACATTTAAAAACAGTTTATTGATCCCCTTGGAACTCACAAGACAGTTAGGATGTCTTAGCGTTTTTTGATTGGTCAGTGCACGAATTACTGCATCCGACGTCCCTCAGAAATCAGTATTAGTAGGCTCCTAACCTTGCCTATCGGTATAAAACGTCCCCGTTAACCTTCAGTGTGAGATCAGACCTCTCTTAGCTGGTTGTCTCATCCATAATTCCAACATTTAGAATCTTTAAAAAATGCAGCTCTGCTCCTTAGAGGTCCAGAGATAGCACAACACATATCCCAAATTCATTAAATTTAAAGCAACTTGGAAATGAAAAACGAACTACACATTTTTAACCTTCGAGAAACTTATTGCAGCCCTAATTTTTCATCAAGAGTTCATTGTATCAGTCGGTTTATTATTTACTTGTTCTAATCACCCGGACAAAATAACTTGTGGTTACGTTCGTCCCTTGCCCGAAGAAGCAGGTTTGTTTCAAAATGTTGGCTACCGTTCCTTTGGCAGTTTCTTCAGTAGACTTTTTTTTTTCAAGAGTACTGCTGCCTATACTTTGTTGCACCATAACTTAGCCAGGAGAAAACGCTACAGCCCCCTCCAGCCAGTCGGAGAGAGGGAGTGAAGGTATGTGACGAGTCTCCACAGAAAGAAAGCACTCCGATT